CAGGTTGTTTTCTCTAGAAGAAGAAATGGAGATACGATATTATCAGAGATCAGTACCTGAGAAGAGGCAGGGAAGTAATGAGACTAGGCAGGAGAGATCAGCTGCCATAAATCCTGACCAAACTTCATCAATTCAGAGAAAATGCTAGAGCAAGCATTGCTCCGTATTGTGTCCTGGGGGCCAGTCCTGCATGTTTCTATCTTGTTCAGTTAGGCTATCCTGTGAAGGACATGAATGAGATGTGGCGCCCTCAGCAGCTGAGGCAAACCCTGAAGGAGCTGAAGGCTGGAGACTGCTGGCCATTATCCTTCCATGAAGGTGGATCTGTGCAGTTTATCCCTCTATCCATCCTATTGAAAATTGCAACAACCCTTACCTCCCTGTCACCCTGGCCTGCTATATTCCTTTTCTTTTTGGTAATACTGGGGTTTGAACTCAGAGCCTCCACTTGCTAAGCAAGTACTTTACTACTTGATCAGTCCTTTTGCTTAGTTTTTTTTTTTTTCATTTTTCTTTTATTATTCATATGTGCATACAAGGCTTGCTTTATTTCTCCCCCCTGCCCCCACCCCCTCCCTTACCACCCACTCCACCCCCTCCCGCTCCCCCCCTCAATACCCAGCAGAAACTATTTTGCCCTTATCTCTAATTTTGTTGTAGAGAGAGTATAAGCAATAATAGGAAGGAACAAGGGGTTTTGCTGGTTGAGATAAGGATAGCTATACAGGGCATTGACTCACATTGATTTCCTGTGCGTGGGTGTTACCTTCTAGGTTAATTCTTTTTAATCTAACCTTTTCTCTAGTTCCTGGTCCCCTTTTCCTATTGGCCTCAGTTGCTTTAAGGTATCTGCTTTAGTTTCTCTGCATTAAGGGCAACAAATGTTAGCTAGTTTTTTAGGTGTCTTACCTATCCTCACCCCTCCCTTGTGTGCTCTCGCTTTTATCATGTGCTCATAGTCCAATCCCCTTGTTGTGTTTGCCCTTGATCTAATGTCCACATATGAGGGAGAACATACGATTTTTGGTCTTTTGGCCAGGCTAACCTCACTCAGAATGATGTTCTCCAATTCCATCCATTTACCAGCGAATGATAACATTTCGTTCTTCTTCATGGCTGCATAAAATTCCATTGTGTATAGATACCACATTTTCTTAATCCATTCGTCAGTGCTGGGGCATCTTGGCTGTTTCCATAACTTGGCTATTGTGAATAGTGCCGCAATAAACATGGATGTGCAGGTGCCTCTGGAGTAACAGTCTTTTGGGTATATCCCCAAGAGTGGTATTGCTGGATCAAATGGTAGATCGATGTCCAGCTTTTTAAGTAGCCTCCAAATTTTTTTCCAGAGTGGTTGTACTAGTCTACATTCCCACCAACAGTGTAAGAGGGTTCCTTTTTCCCCGCATCCTCGCCAACACCTGTTGTTGGTGGTGTTGCTGATGATGGCTATTCTAACAGGGGTGAGGTGGAATCTTAGTGTGGTTTTAATTTGCATTTCCTTTATTGCTAGAGATGGTGAGCATTTTTTCATGTGTTTTCTGGCCATTTGAATTTCTTCTTTTGAGAAAGTTCTGTTTAGTTCACTGCCCATTTCTTTATTGGTTCATTAGTTTTGGGAGAATTTAGTTTTTTAAGTTCCCTGTATATTCTGGTTATCAGTCCTTTGTCTGATGTATAGTTGGCAAATATTTTCTCCCACTCTGTGGGTGTTCTCTTCAGTTTAGAGACCATTTCTTTTGATGAACAGAAGCTTTTTAGTTTTATGAGGTCCCATTTATCTATGCTATCTCTTAGTTGCTGTGCTGCTGGGGTTTCATTGAGAAAGTTCTTACCTATACCTACTAACTCCAGAGTATTTCCTACTCTTTCTTGTATCAACTTAAGAGTTTGGGGTCTGATATTAAGATCCTTGATCCATTTTGAGTTAATCTTGGTATAGGGTGATATACATGGATCTAGTTTCAGTTTTTTGCAGACTGCTAACCAGTTTTCCCAGCAGTTTTTGTTGAAGAGGCTGCTATTTCTCCATCGTATATTTTTAGCTCCTTTGTCAAAGATAAGTTGCTTATAGTTGTGTGGCTTCATATCTGGTCCTCTATTCTGTTCCACTGGTCTTCATGTCTGTTTTTGTGCCAGTACCATGCTGTTTTTATTGTTATTGCTTTGTAATATAGTTTGAAGTCAGGTATTGTGATACCTCCTGCATTGTTCTTTTGACTGAGTATTGCCTTGGCTATTCGTGGCCTCTTGTGTTTCCATATAAATTTACAGTAGATTTTTCAATCTCTTTAATGAATGTCATTGGAATTTTGATGGGAATTGCATTAAACATGTAGATTACTTTTGGGAGTATCGACATTTTTACTATGTTGATTCTACCAATCCATGAGCATGGGAGATCTCTCCACTTTCTATAGTCTTCCTCAATCTCTTTCTTCAGAAGTGTATAGTTTTCCTTGTAGAGGTCTTTCACATCTTTTGTTAGGTTTACACCTAGGTATTTGATTTTTTTTGAGGCTATTGTAAATGGAATTGTTTTCATACATTCTTTTTCAGTTTGCTCATTGTTAGTGTATAGAAATGCTAATGATTTTTCTATGTTGATTTTATATCCTGCTACCTTGCTATAGCTATTGATGATGTCTAGAAGCTTCTGAGTAGAGTTTTTTGGGTCTTTAAGGTATAGGATCATGTCGTCTGCAAATAGGGATATTTTGACAGTTTCTTTACCTATTTGTATTCCTTTTATTCCTTCTTCTTGCCTAATTGCTCTGGCTAGGAATTCCAGTACTATGTTGAATAGGAGTGGAGATAGTGGGCATCCTTGTCTGGTTCCTGATTTTAGAGGGAATGGTTTCAGTTTTTCTCTGTTATGTATAATGCTGGCTGTAGGTTTGTCATATATAGCTTTCATAATGTTGAGGCACTTTCCTTCTATTCCTAGTTTTCTTAGAGCTTTTATCATGAAATGGTGTTGGATCTTATCAAAGGCTTTTTCTGCTTCTATTGAGATGATCAAGTGGTTTTTGCTTAGTTTTTTTTTTTTCCAGTTAAGGTCTCAAGGTTTTACTCTGGTCAACCTTGGACCATGATTTTCCTACCTCTACCTCCTAAGCAGTTGGGATTACAGGTGTGAGCCACCATGCCTGAATTCCCTGCTTTGTTTTATGCTTCGCATTTAATATCTTCTAATACACTATATAACTTATTTATTTTACTTATTATCTGGTTCCTATAGTGAAATATAAGTGCTAACAAGTAGAGGAATTTTTATCTCTTGACTGCTGCTGCATTTAGAATAGCACCTGGGGGCTGGTGGAGTGGCTCAAGTAGTGGAATGCCTGCCTAGAATAGCACCTGGTTCATAGCAGGCACTCAAGAAATTGTTGTTGATATTTGTTGACTGAACGAGTTGTACAAGTTTTGCAAGAACTATGACTCAGTTATCTTGTCAATATATGGCACATAGTGGGTGTGCAATATATTTGTTGAATAGATGAATAAATAAATGAGTCTGTTATTAACATCATCATGAGAAAGTATTAGTGCAGCACTTCCCAGAAGAAATACCATGTGAGCCGTACCTGGGGTTTCAGGTTTTTATCAGCTATATCAAAAAATAAAGAGGTCATATTACTTTTAATACTATCTTATTTAACTCAATATATCCAAGTAGTATCATGTCAACATGTAATAATATAAAAATTATTAATGAGGGATCTTATATCCTTTTTTGTTTTATAGCATCTTTAAAATCCTGTGTGGATTTTGCATTTAAATCACATCTCAGTTGGATCTAGCCACATTTCAAGTGTTCAATAGTCATGGGGAAAGCACACAGCACTGCAATTCAGGTGTCAGAATCACACAGTGTGTATAGGAGAATTGGGGGGCTAAAAGGGGAGGTTTCTGGAGTCATTGACTTCTTGGGTACCAATTATCACTCCTTAACTTACAAGCTGTCAATATCCCTCAGCTAAAACCAGCCAGAAACACACCCGCAGGTTAACAAGTGAGGTTGGTTGCTTGTTGGAAGGAAAGGCATATAATGGAGAGCTGTGGGCCTCAAGGGTAAAAGAAAGTCACAAAGGACTTAGTATAGGATGTGCATTTGTGTTAGGCAATTTGGGGAGGGTTTAAGGAAAGAGGGCCTCCTTCTGTACTGGATGTTGACCAGAAGTGGGAGTGATTATAAGATTGGGTATCTTAACAAGTCTTATCCAAATGGAGCAATACTTAATAGAGGCAAATAGGAATCACTCATTATTAGTGGGGATAGGAAGATGTTTGATGGCTGTGGTTTGTACGGCGTTGTCCCGTGTGATTTCTGTGTTCCAGAGGAAGAGGCGTGAAGGAACACCAAAGCCAGCTGATGGTACCTAGAGCTTAAAGATTGCTTTTCTCTTTGTCACAGCTGTGTGACATCAAGCGATTAACTTTTCTAAGGTTCAGATTCTCATTTCTAAAATGGGAATACAAAGGCACCACCTCTCCCTTTTTTATGGTTATAAGCTTTGGGATAATCTATGAAAAGAAGCTGGGATCGTCCCTGGTATACAGTCCGCACTCAAATGTGTGTCATCTGCAGTTCAAAGACTCTATAGTGCACTATATTTTTTCGTATCTTAGCACTTCTGAAAATGGGTGTGTCTTTCCAACAGGGGCTTCTTAGACGAAATGCAGTGTAGTATTACTTTAGGAAGGCTGTGGTTTGAGAGACAATTGCTCGGTCCAGGCCGACAGCTCAATCCGCCATCCGTGGTGGATTGGTGGCGGACTTTCTTTACTTTTTCTTTGTTTTTAATTTTTTGTCGGTACTGGGGCGGGGGTTGAACTCAGGGGCTTCATTATTGTCCTCACTTCTCAGCAGACGCCCTGTGTGCTTCTCTCCGGGTCACAAAATTTTTGCTGCGCGGCTTCCCCAGGCAATACGGGACGTGGGGCGGCAGCACTCGCGAGCTTACGGCGGCGCGGCACCCACGCTCCCTGGTTGCCCCGGGAAACCGGCGCGTCCCCGCCCGCCAGCCAGCCTGGCCGTCAGCTGATGGGCCGCGGGCAGGGGAGGCCGCGGCCGCGCGAACATGGCGGCGGAGATCCACTCCAGGCCGCAGAGCAGCCGTCCGGTGCTGCTAAGCAAGATCGAGGGCCACCAGGATGCGGTCACCGCCGCGCTGCTCATCCCCAAGGAGGACGGCGTGATCACCGCCAGCGAGGACAGGTAGGGGCGGCCCTCCCTCGACGGCCATCGGCAGTGGGGTCCGCGGCCCCGGCCTCCCGGCGTCGGGTCACCTCAGGACGTGCGGCCAGACGCCCCCGCCGAGCCTCTGCGGTCCACTGGGACCCCGTTCCTTCCCGCGGGTCCCCCACTCTCCAACCCTGTCCCACCTCTCCAGCCTGGCCCTCGTCCCCACCACGCGCCTCTTCAGCCTGGGACTCCCGTCCCTCCTTGAAACCATCCCCCTCACCGCACCCCTCCAGCCGGTGACCCCGTCCTACAGCGTCCCTCCGTCCAGGTATCTGGTCCCCACCGCGGTCCTCCAGTCTGGGACTCCCCTGCCACGCCCTTCCAGATGGGAACCCTGTCCCACCTGCTGAGACCCTGGTCCCCATCCTGGCTCTCCAGCCCAGTATCCCCACTGTGCCCCTCCAGCTCAGGACCCCAGTCACCACTGCACCCCTGTTGTCCAGGTTCCTCACTCCCTCCAGTCTGGGCGCAGTCCCACTGACGTCCCATCCTGGCACATTTGCCTCCTCTGTCATTGTGGGGTTTCACCAGGCGCTCAGAGTTTCTTGGCCCTCCTGGGTCAGTTCCAAGTCGCCTCCTCTGGAAGCCCAGAGGACAGGTGGCTGGTTACTGCAGGTCCTAGCCTTCACTTCTTCCTTTTAGTTGACTTTCAAGTTTACACCTTTCTGAGCTAAGCCAGGCATCAAGATCAGTTATTTTCACCATCGTTGTTAGAACCATCTGAACTCTTATTAAGTAAATAATTTTAAATTTTTAAGTGAAAGTGATTCATTATTTAAAAGGCCAGATGCATTTACTTTAAAGGAAATTGTATTTATATCTCCAGCATTAGAAAAACTGGTGTCATTTACAATAAAGAATAAATGAAGACCTGTTAATCAGTAAGCATGTAAAGTCTTCTCTTGTACTGTATGCATTGGACCACACTTGGGAAACACTAATTCTGTCCAATTGTTTCGTTTTCAAGAGGAAACTCAGCTCTTGAGTGCAGAGGTGAAACCAGTAACTCTAAGTCACAGAGATACTGAGGAAGCCAGAAATGCAATCTGAACTTCCCAGCCATGGTCTTGGAGCAGGGTTATTTGTTCAAAAATGTTAGCAACTTCAAAACTTGAATGGCTATCTGGTGAGAAGGTAAAGGAAACGTGTATTGAGTGAAACTATGTTTCCTTGGTACTCAGTGGTCCTTAAGTAGTGATAGGCCAAAAGTGGGAAGGCTTTGTGGAGAATGGAAGATTATGTTCTCAAAGCTGAACAGAGCCCAGCCTTTTGTCATTATGCCTTTCCAGGTACGTAACCTTGAGGGCCTGTGGCGAATGGGAAGAGAAAACCTGAAGCTCCCAACTCCTCATTGACCTCCGCATTTCACTTAGGGCTTTTTCCTCAATTAGGTAGTGAGATTATTGAGAGCAGCCACCTGTCCCTGCCGTTTACTTGTATCTGACCTCAAACAAGGTGTGGAATGACTAGTAGGACCTGGGCATGGGTGTGTGAAGAAGGAGGGAGGTAGAGGGAGAGGAGTATGAACCATAAAGATGGAAAGCAGAGTAATGAACTTAGACAACACTATATGAAAGTTAGCAGTCTTTAATCAGTAAAGTAGTTTCATGACTCATGCATGTTGGGTAAATTGCTGAATATTTAGGATTGCTGGGCAGGAGCAGTACTGATGAATGTTTTATGAAAAGTGATTACTAAGCCACTCTGAAAGGTTCTGGGAACTCCAGGATCAGCTCATCTTTTCACTCCAGTACCACTGTACTTTGGGGCCCTGGTCCATGACTGGACCTGGTGTGGGATGGCCTCTCAGGTTTCTCATTTCTCTTTCAGGACCATGGAACTTCCATGGAGGTAGGAGAGCCACTTTAGTAGGTACCATATTTTATTTTAATGAAAGCATGTGGCTGTGGAGTTTTGTTGTTGGTCATGGTGGTTTTTAGTCACAAAAAAGGCGCTGAAGTAATTGCTCAAGATCTCATAGCTATTAAGCAACAGGGCTGAGTTCTGTCTGAATCTGAGGCTCTAGCTCTTTCTGCCATGCACCTGGTTTTTCTGCACATTAGGAGAAACTGAGTCTAGGCAGTATCAGTCAGTGACTGGCTCAAGTGTGAACTGCTAGGATTATACTTTTTGCTTCTATTCAATGATCCTTTCTTCCTTTCTATTGGTTTTCAGGTTTTTTTTTTTAAGTGTCTTGCTTTTTTTATACAACTTGTACTTAAACAGTAGCTTAACATTTAAAGTAGGGTCCAGCTGAAGTTAATTCCTTTTATAAAAGCTACAAGCAGTGAGAAGTAGCTGAGAATATTCTGAGGAAAAAGTGAAAGAGAAGGCTCTTCCTGAAGTTATGCCCACTTTTCTAAAGTGCACAGCAGTGGTCCTCAACCAGAGGTGATTTTTAGCCTCTAGGGGACATTTCCGGTGTCTGGAGACCTTGCAGGCTATTAGACTGGGGAGAAGATTCTCCTGGCAGCAGGTGTAGGCCCCGGGCCACCACTCACTGCCCTTTCATACTGGGGACAGTCTCCACACCAGAGAAGTACCTGGCCCCAAATGTCAGTGAGTGCCTAGGTTGGGAAACCCTGGTCTAGGCGTAATGTCCTTGTTTTTCTGGTCTCTCTAGAATGGTGGTAATCAAATTTGAACATGTATTGGAACCACCTGGAAGTCTTGGTAATCCATGGATTGATTATTGGGCCTCGTCCCTCGGGCTTCTGGTTGGGAAAATTGGGTGGGGCCTGAGAGTTGGAATTTTTGTCAAGTTCCAGGGGATGTCGGTGTCTAAAGATCGCACTTTGAGAATTACTGGCCATGTACTGGCCTAAGCAGACACTCTGGAGGAAATGCTATTTATATTTTGTTCCTTTTTTTTTTTTGTCACCTTCTGGGACAAAAGACAAGTATTTGCCTAGAGTTATTTTCATATACCCACCAAGTTACTCAGCTTTTTATCTCTGTGCCAGAATTCCTGGGATACATAACTTAAAAGGAGGAAAGGTTGATTTTGGCTCACAGTTTGAGAGGTTTCAGTTCATGGTCGCTTGGCCCTGTTGCCACCTTGTGGTGAGGTAGAACATCATGGCGGGGAGCACATGATGAGGACATTGCTCTTCCCTTGTTCTTCAGGAAGAGAGACAGAAGAAGAGGCCAGGGTCTCAGAATTCTCTTTAAGGGCTTACTTTCTCCAACCAGACCCCACCTCCTAAAATTTCCACCACTTCCCCATAGCACCATCAGCTGGAGAACAAGCCTAGAATATGTAAGCTTTTGGGGGACATTCAAGATCCAAACCATGACAACCATTATCTCCCAGTAAAACCAGACTACATACAACAGAGCTAAATACAGTCAACCCTCCAAAGAGTATCAAGCCAATGGGGAATATTGAGGCTTAATTCCATCACACCCAGACGGATAATTAGCAGTTGAGACAGTGAGCTTAGTGGTCTGGTTAGACACTTTCGTAAGTGAATGTGTGATGAATGGCTACCAGAATGACATAACTTCCATATGAATTAATTTCTATTTTGTTGCCGTAATGAGCCATTTTATTTAAACTTCACTCTTCTGCTAAATCTAAACTAGTATTTCTAAACTTTAGTTTAAACTGCCTGGACTTTGTTACCAAAAATTTGAGCTTTGGTATTTGAGCAAAGTATAAGAATGACAAATTCAAGAAGTTTCTTTATAGTTCTTGAATTAATAGGTACTTTTCTTTCAGGATATTTTAAAAAAATCAACAACAAAATAAACTCAGTGGTCAGTAGTTTAAGAATTTGAACTGCAGCAGTTACTTTCTGTCAGGGGAAACAGAAAATGAGACTGCTTTCAGAACAGAACTGAAACCTGTGAGACAGCAGGAGCACATTCCCTGAACAGATTATTTTTCTGATCTTCTTTGCTGGGGCTACACAAAAACTTAGCCAGGAGAATGACAGAAGTTTTAAAAATTAAAAAACTCACAATGTGAGGCTATTGGGAATTGGTACTATGAGTATATGCTAATAAAAATGAAAAAAAAAAGGGTAAAAACTCTATTATAAAGCCTTACAATCAAGTGAAGGCTATAAACCTGGTGTCTTCATTTTTGAGAAATAGAGTTTGACCGGGCGCTGGTGGCTCACACCTGTAATCCTAGCTACTTAAAGGCAGCGATCGGGAGAACTTTGGTTCAGAATTTGGGCGGGCGGGAGGGAGGTGTAGGGAGAATACTTTGAAAAAAAACCCTTCACGGAAGAGGCTGGTGGAGTTGTTCTAGTGGTAAGAGCACCTGCCAAGCAAGTGTGCAGGCCCTGAGTTCAAATCTCAGTGCCGCCAAAAAAAAAAATCAAAGTAGAGTTTGAAGATGAGCCTGCTTATAGGCTGGTAAAAAAATAAAAATTACAAAAATGTTTTTGTAGCATCTTCCTTTTTATTACACAAGATATTTTAATATGTTTGTTTCCTTTTAGACATTTCTGAGCATGGTGAGATGACTTGGGGAAAAATTTGCATATTTTTTAATTGCTCTTGTGGAACAATCCTAAATAAACAACTTCATTTTTAATTATTTTGCCTAGGAGGAAACCTGGAATAGCAGGAAGTGTTAGTTTATACAGAAAACCAGGGTGTTAACTGCTCTATTTTCGTAATCAAGCAGTGCCTAAAAGTAGATTCTTTAATTTGTATTATAAAATAAACTGAAGAAATGAGAAGACAGGAAGCCTGGGTGGAGGTGCATTTATTCCTCAATTGTTACAGCATTCCTTCATTGTTATAATCATTTTCTTTTTATAGCGTAGTTAAAAACATAGACTCCATAGCCAGGATGCCTTGGGTTTGAAACCCAGCCATGTGACCTTGGACAAGCTGCTTAACCTCTTTTCGTCAATCTTCTCTGCAAACTGGAGATAATAATGCCCACCATTTAGGCTTTTGTGTGGAATTGATGAATTAATGAAATCGCTATAAAGCACATAGAACAGTGCCCAGCA